GGGATGGCCTACATCAATCACCTGGTGGAGAAAGGAGACTATGACAGCGCTGCGAGGTACGTTTAACCTCTGCACAGGGATGTTTATCCAGTGACAAGCAGTACTGTGAGTGAATGTGTGTGTGGGATATATTTGAAAACAATAAAGTGTGTCTTTTTTTACATCTCTTGGGTCTTCATGTATATTACAGAAACGTTCTATTGTAAGGGTTCAACAAAAGATATCACTTGTGCAGTTACCTTATATTAGAGTAGGAAACCGTGCAACCTCAACATAATCCAAATGTCTTTTCACCTCGGTTACTGAATAGAAAATATGTCTTTTTATTTGTAATTACTGTAATACATGTGCAACACAAATTCAACACAAACGGATTGAGAAAATAATCCTAACTCAAGGTTCACTTACTAACTTTAGTCAGAAGTTTAACTACTAAATTGATCTTTAATTTATTTATTTTTTAAACTTTTGACCGCAAAGACGATATAGTATTGTTGTGTGATGTACAACATTCCTTATTCATCTATGTGACTCTACAGCCCCGGCATATTCACTGATAATAAAATAGTCGTCTAGTTAGATCTGAATGATTGATGTGCTTCTTTTATTCAGGAAGTGTCAGAAGGTTCTTGGAAAAAACATGGACTTATGGGAAAATGAAGTATACAGGTTCAAGACCATCGGGCAGTTGAAGGTAGGAATTTCCATAAATTGTGATGCAACCTCTATAAGTTGCGACGTTCTCATAGTATCAATCTCATATCAATCACTTCTCTCCGATTTCAGGCCATCAGCCAGTATTTACCCCGAGGGGACCTACGTCTCAGACCAGCCATCTATGAAATGATCCTGCATGAATTTCTCAAAACGGACTACGAGGTACTTTGTCCCATAATACTATTGCCATGCTGTTACACATTCAGTGTTAATCCACATGTTAATCGTCACTTCCTGTGCTATCCAAAAAGGGTTTTGCCACCCTGATCCGGGAGTGGCCTGGAGAGCTTTATAACAACATGGCCATCGTTCAGACGGTCTCCGATCACCTGAAGGAAGACCCCACCAACAGAACCCTTCTCACCACGCTGGCTGAACTGTGAGCGATCTTACCACATGAATAACTCAACCAACTGAATCATTATTGAAGTACACATTCAAACAAAAGTTGTCTAATATTACAACAAAGTCTAAAGGTTGATATTGGGTGCATCATTTCATACACATTTATAAGGAAATTAGTGTCAATTATCTGTTTTTTTCCTAAAACTGTAAGATCTACAGTAGTCTGGGTTTTTAAATCAATGTTTGTGTATTTAAAGGCTGTGTTGCACAATATGTGTCTATATGCATCTGTTTGATTCACAGAGTAATGCTTAAATGAATGCTGACAGATACAAAAAAAGTCAAATTTGATGAAGAATTGTGTTGTTCTTTCATGCTTTTGCAGGTACACGTACGACCAGCGGTACGACAAAGCCTTAGAAATCTACCTGAGGCTGAGGCACAAAGACGTTTACCAGCTGATCCACAAACACAACCTGTTCTCCTCCATCGAGGACAAGATCGTGCTCCTCATGGACTTTGACAAAGAGGTACAGCCTGAAAACACGTACATTTTGGCATTTTATTGGCATTATTTAACTTTTTTTAAATCATAAATTCGATGTTTGAGTAATACATTCTCTATAATTGTATTTCCAGAAAGCAGTTGACATGCTTCTCGACAATGAAGACAAGTTATCGGTAAGCGTACATGTCTCTGTCTTTTCTTACTCGTGATGAAAATGTGCGACACACTGATCCTGTTTCTCTTCTCTCTGCTTCTAGACAGACAGGGTGGTGGAAGAACTGGCAGACAGGCCAGAGCTTCTGCATGTGGTGAGTGGAGAACTCTTTAAATAAAATCCTATTAACTCTCCCAATGTAATTCAGAAGTGATTTGACTCTTCTTTTCCCCACAGTACCTCCATAAACTGTTCAAGCGGGACCACCACAAAGGCCAAAAATACCACGAGAGACAGATCGGCCTGTACGCTGAATATGACCGACCTAATCTTTTACCATTCCTGAGAGATAGCACGCACTGTCCTCTTGAAAAGGTACGAGTCGTACATCCATATGCTCAATTCAAGTTTCCAAAATCTACAAGACATGAATATTTGTTGTCTTTTTTTGTCAGGCTCTCGAGATTTGTCAGCAGAGGAACTTTGTAGAGGAGACTGTCTTCCTGCTCAGTAAGTCTTAGTTCAAGTTTTCTCATATTGTATGTGTTCTGAAATGATTAAAAAGGAAGCTAACCTAGCATGTTGGCTCGCAGGCAGGATGGGGAACTGCAGGCGGGCTCTGCAGATGATCATGGAGGAGCTGGAGGATGTGGATAAAGCCATAGAGTTTGCCAAGGAGCAGGACGACGCTGAGCTCTGGGAGGATCTCATCTCTTACTCTATAGACAAACCACGTATGATGCAGTCTCATCCCCACCGAACATGTGTTTTCATTCCGTAATTCTTTGTCATTTTCACTCTTTCATGTCTTCTGTCTCTCCCCAGCGTTCATCACTGGCCTCCTTAACAACATTGGTACTCATGTGGATCCCATCCTGCTCATCCATCGCATAAAGGAGGGCATGGAGATCCCAAACCTCAGGGATTCACTCGTAAAAATCCTCCAGGACTACAATCTACAGGTTAGACTTGTTTCTGTTACATAATATACTTTTTTCCCCCTTGAAATGTAATTAGTAATACAGCCATTAACACTGGTCATACTTCTTAGTGTAGCTTTTATCCAGTTGAAATAATACATTAAAAAGGATGAATAGATAAAGAGAGATTTCAAAGCAGCAACACATTATTTAATGCACATGTAGTGGTCAAATTAATTAATTAAAACTCAATAATTGCTTAAATGTGACATAACAGGCATCAATATAGTCAGTTTGTGGTCACATTAATACTTAAGAGACTTTTAAGATTGCTTATATGCCATCCTGGAGGATCAATCTAAGTGAAGCAAAACATTTAACATTTTTAGTACACAGAATATTGTTTTTACTACATGTATACACTTATAAGGGATTAAATAAGCATGACGCTATGTTGAGGGATATTCTAATGTAACTAACTTCAGTAGCTCCAGTTAGAAATAATGTATCCCTCTAGCAATAAGGGTGATTTCAACAGAAAGACATTTTGAGAATTGATTTATGTTAAGTGTTAATTAGTGCTGTTTTCTTCCTAACCAGCGTTTGTTTTCCCATTTCTAAGATTCTTCTGAGGGAAGGATGTAAGAAGATCCTGGTGGCCGACTCCCTCTCTCTGCTCCAGAAGATGCACCGAACACAGATGAGAGGAGTCCGGGTCGACGGTGGGTGACATTTTTCTCTGTGTTTATGCAGAAGCAGCAGAGATGATGTCCCTTTTTTAAACTGTACTCATATTAGTTTTGCTTTTCCTTTTCAGAGGAGAACATTTGTGAATCCTGCCATGCTGCAATACTACCATCAGGTGGGTTTACCATCGAGTTGTCCAAGTATTTCATTGTATTGTATTTGAAAGATATTCATGCTAGTTACATCTTTGTTTCAGACATGGCCAAGCCCTTCAGTGTGGTGGTGTTTCACTGCAGACACATGTTTCACAAGGAATGTTTGCCATCCTCAGGAGCAGTGAGTAACTTCACTTCAATCTGTGTCTCTCTTTACACAACACATCATATTCCTTTTTCTTTAGGTGTTAACTTTTACATCATTATCTTTTACCCTGGTATTATTTGATCTAATCTGAGAATCTCACATATGACTTTGCTGTGATATATTGAGACTTCTTAACTTCCCTCTTTCCCTTTTTAGATTCCTGGGGTGCAGTTTTGTAACATCTGCAGTGCGAAGAAGCGCAGGCCAGGACATGGAATCATGGAGATTAAACAGTAAACAGGGAATTTGCACTCCCTCATGTTATTATTATTATTGATGCTTTTACCCTCCGCCTGTTGCTTTACCTTTACTGTTGGTGCATGAATTAATGACATGCCCTCCCTCACTAAACACTTGCAAACATGCAAAACATGTATATTGGATTGTGTCTGCATCTAACAACTATAAAGTGTTTTAATTATTCTGCTTACCACTAATGTGATTTGGTCTGAAAAATAAAATCACATAAAAACTCTGTTTTATCTTTATTTTATTGATTTCATGGAAATTAGAAGACAAAGATAACAGTTTACAGAGGAATTATTATGAAATAACAATCACCTCTCTGCTACCCCTACAGCAACAACTGAGTTGAACACAATCATAAGAAAGTTATTTTCAGCGTCCCCTTCCAAATCTGATTTTACTGCTCCCATTCAGATTTGACAGCTTAAAAAGATGTACACATACAAACCTGTTGGGCGGTAGCAAGATGCCAAAATGTGTTGGTATTCTGTTCAGCTTGTAAAATATACAGATGCACTATTAGTTCTTAACATATATGTGATATATAACATATATTATATATATATATATTACATATATTGATTAGGATTCTTTCATGTTAATAGACGCTACTACAAATACATGTAGTGGAGTCAATGGTACGATAGGTTTCTGAACTGTAGGCCTAGTGGAGTCAAAGTAGAATGTAACATACAAATGTATCATAAAAGTACAAGTAAGTTAAAGTTACATTAAAACCACTGCTGACATATAATAATTATTTATCTAGAAGTTGAACAATATGGTTGTAGGTGTCTATAAAAGCTGTATATATGTTGGCATGTGATATTCCTTTTCCTTGTAATTATTGTGCAATTATACTGCACATTATTAACTTTTAACACTGTGCTAAAATACGTTATATTAGCATGACACCAATGTTCATTAATGTGCAATTTCTATCTTTCATAAATAAATAAATTAAAGCCCACATTTACAAAACTTCACTCTCAATCTTGAGCTGTCCTGGAGGGCTGCTACGTCACTTCCGCTGTTCCTCTCCGGAAGTACAGTTAATTTTTATTCACAGAAAAAAAAAAAACAGCTGTTGTTGAAAAAGAAAACAGCGAAGAGAGTTTCATTGACGGATGTCTTGGCTTTATCTTTTCGCACACATAAGTAAAGTAAGATATACTCTCTCTATTATCTCATCTGTGTGTCCGCCTGCTGTTTTTACTGACTTAGTAACCGAGTCTCGTATCGTTCATTTGTTGCGAGTTGCTAGCATTAGCTTCCATCACTTCCAGCTAGCACACTTACTAGCAATAGCTAACTGTGCATTTCGGACTGTTAGCACAACTTTTGGGGACAACATTCTCTGTCAGGCTATCGGTAAGATTATATGTAGATGGCAACCAAGTTAGTAATTGTAAATCGTACATTGGGTGACTCGCTAACCACCTAGTTTAACTGCGATGTATCACTGTTTATTTCCCGTTAGCCTTTTTTATGATCATAAATACCAGGTAACAGTTAATGCATTTACAACATGAATATAGTTCCTGTTTATAGTATAGTTATTTCTGTTGAATTTACTTTACACAAATCACTGTTTGAAAGCATATAATCAATTAACTTCATCAGATGTCTAGCTAAAAATTAAAAGAGGGTGCCTGAAAGTGTTACTTATAGCTTATTTAATACAATTCTAATTAAAGAATTGTGTTCAATTTGTGCTGTTTTCCTGCCTTTTTGTAATACCTATATTTTTGTCACGTATTTTGACAGAATGCATGCCCCAAAGAGAGGGTCATCTCCTGATGATTCTCATCGCAAGATAAGGAAGTTGGATCAGGATGAGGATGACATGCAATCCACAACTGCACCAGCTACAAATAATACAGCAGCAAACTCACGGAATATACCAGCCAAGTCATCAATACAGAGTTCCCCTCCAAAAGATTCCAGCAAAACCATTTCTGAACCTCCTCTCAAAGAATCCAAGCTCCTAAAAGCCACAAGTGCCTCCTGCGGAGAAGCTCCCTCACAGAAAGCGAACTCCAATGCTTCCCTGAAGCGAACAGCCTCCACTGAGTCTGAGGATGAATTAAGTAGTGATGGTAGTGAGACTGACCCTTTCAGAGAGAGGCATGATGGCGACAAGGCACGCTGCATCAGAAAATATTCTAATCGAGTCAAAGCGAAGCGCAAAGCTGAAGAGCCAACGTCTGACCCACAGGAGACAGGCCAAGGGTCACCGTCTGCACCTGAAGGCCCCGTTCAGATGGACCACAATTATGGTAGATTTTCAGATTCAAGTATGGGAGAGCTTGATATGGATGAGAAAAAAGAATCAGCACACTCTGTCACTGAACTACAGGTCCAAGTAATGTCAGTTAATGCAACACAAGCAGAGTCAAAAGACACTTTAGTCGCTGCAAGCAGAAGTGTAAAGGCTAGCATTGAATTTGAGTGCCCAGACGATCAAATCAAACGTGAGGAATTGAAAAATGTAGAAGGCCAAAAGCTCGATGATAATAAAACCCCAACATCATGTATAGAGAGCTTAGACTCTGTCACTGCAACAGCTGAAGGGTCGCCTTGCATCACATCTGAGGCAGAAGGAAAGGAAAGGAAAGACATCAATAACCAAAAGTGTGTGGATAATGAAACAGTTGCACCTGCAGTGGAAACATTGTATAGTACTGGAGAGGCAAATCCAGGCTGTGAAGTGGAAATACAGTTAGAGGAGAGCATGAACTCATTTCCTGAAAGTCATACAGTTAACATCAGTGAAACTGAAACTAAGGACACCACAGAGTCTGTTTCAAAGGAGACATTGGATGTAAAATGTAAAAGTGAGGGTGAAGGGCAGGAAGCCAATGTCTCCGCAGACCACATTGATGTAGCAGATAAAGCGTTATCAAATGAAACAAACATGGAAGGAGGTGTTAATCCTGAGAGTCAGACTAATAAGAAATTAACAACAGAGCCCACTGGCAATCCAGACACTCAAACAGACCTCAGTGTCAAAATTCAAGTTACTTTCAAAGAGGAATCTAACATCATTCATCAAGTGAGCCATGAAGTGCCAGACGTAATTACCAACTCGTGTGAGGATGTGGACAAACTAGTACGAAAGTCGGAGGAAAAACGTAAGGAAAGTGATCGGAAAGGAGTCGAGTTCCTGTCGACTCAGACTGTTGCTGTTTCTGGGTCCTTTGCTGAAGTACAAGTGATGGAAAAGACGACTGACAGCTGTACAGAAATACTGACATCAAATTGTGAGGCTGTTCCTGAGCAAAATCAAAACAAGGTGCTCTCTGAGTGTGTCACAGACTTGAAGGGGCATATTGACACGGACCTGGAGACCAAAATGACAGAGGACAGGGATAAATCAGCGCCTAAGGAGGATACACTAAACGGGGGGAACCACATAGGAAATGACAATACTACGCAAATACCAGCTGTAGTCGAAGAAGTTGCAGAGACGAGGATAGAAAAAGAGAACAACTTTGAGGAAATTTCCAATGAAGCCGCCACAATGGAAATACAATTCCAGAAGAGGCAGGAAGTAAGTGAACACACTGCAGACATATCTACAGAATTGAATAAGGATTGTGTTTCAAATTCTAAAATAATGGAAAATGACGACAACCAGGACTTTGAACGCACTAGTGGACCTGAGAGACAGACTACAACGGCATCACAGATTCTTAATCCTCCATCTTCAGTGGAAGTACAAATCCAGGAGAGGCCAAGAGACGACGAACCCATTGCAGAAATGTCTGATAAAACACAGAAACATCCAGTTGCAAATTGCCAGAAAGCTGAAGGCAGGGTTGATGCTGAAGCTGTAGCTGCTGCTGAGAATCTGAATAGAATAGAGGTGGATATGCAGACGACAACAGCATCAGAAGAGATGTCTAACATTGCACCTACAGTGGATATGCAGAAGACAACAGCATCAGAAGAGACGTCTAACATTGCACCTACAGTGGATATGCAGAAGACAACAGCATCAGAAGAGACGTCTAACATTGCACCTACAGTGGATATGCAGAAGACAACAGCATCAGAAGAGACGTCTAACATTGCACCTACAGTGGATATGCAGAAGACAACAGCATCAGAAGAGACGTCTAACATTGCACTTACAGTGGGTATGCAGACGACAACAGCATCAGAAGAGACGTCTAACATTGCACCTACAGTGGGTATGCAGACGACAACAGCATCAGAAGAGACGTCTAACATTGCACCTACAGTGGATATGCAGAAGACAACAGCATCAGAAGAGACGTCTAACATTGCACCTACAGTGGATATGCAGAAGACAACAGCATCAGAAGAGACGTCTAACATTGCACTTACAGTGGGTATGCAGACAACAGCATCAGAAGAGACGTCTAACATTGCACCTACAGTGGATATTCAGACGACAACAGCATCAGAAGAGACGTCTAACATTGCACTTACAGTGGGTATGCAGACAACAGCATCAGAAGAGACGTCTAACATTGCACCTACAGTGGATATTCAGACGACAACAGCATCAGAAGAGACGTCTAACATTGCACCTACAGTGGATATGCAGACAACAACAGCATCAGAAGAGACGTCTAACATTGCACTTACAGTGGATATGCAGACGACAACAGCATCAGAAGAGACGTCTAACATTGCACCTACAGTGGATATGCAAAGCCAGGAAGTCACTCAACTCACCACAGACATGTGTGCTGAACTGCATGAGGATCAAAAGGCTGAACATATGGAAAATCCAGCTCCTGTAGTTGAAAGCATAATAGAAGTGGACATGCAGACTACATCATCTGAGGAGATAATTGACAAAGCACATGCACTGGAAATACAAAGTCAAAATGAAGTAAATATCAAGACTGCAGCAACATCAATGGAGATTTCTAACATAGCAGAAACACAAGCCCAGGTATGCCAAGCAGTCTTTGAACCTGAAACAGACAGCTCTCAAAAAGGTCTTCAGATTCAGACTCCTGAGAGGAATGGAAATGAAAACAAGGTTACCACAGTGTGTGTCAGTGCAACAGAGAATCAAAGAGAAATTGATTTGCAGACCAAAACAACACCAGAGGAGACTTCTGATCCCACAACTAAAGCAGAAACACAGAATCAGAGAAGTCATAAGGTCGAAGAACTCACAACACAGGTCAGCGATCCTAAAGATTTTATTGTGGCAAACACAAGTGAAGAAAACAAGGATACAGTTATCACAGTATGTGTGGATGCCACTGATAATCATATAGGAATGGATGTGCGACCGACAGCAGCGCCGGAAATGTCTAATCAACCCCTTATAGACGAAATGCAAAGCAAGGGGATCCCAGAACTCCACTCCGAAGCTCAAAATGATCTAGTGACTGCAAGTTGTGAGAGTGAGGAAAAGGAAAATGGGGTTAATGCTGAATGTGTGGATGTTACAGACGTTCAAATAAATATGGAAACTACTAAAACACCGGAGGATATTTTTGATGCAGCACCGACCATGGAGGAGCAAAACCAGAGGACGGGGGAAGTCGATGAACCCACTATAGCCTTATCGAGTGAAACTAACCAACCTCCTCCTTTGCCTGAACGTGAGGATAATGCCAACATGCAGATACAGCCGAGTGAGAATATCCAAGGGAATATGGATGTTGTAGGTTTATCAACAGAAAGGGTCAGCGATATTGAAGGAGAAGGAACTGGAAGCAATGAAGTCATAGTGTTTGTTTGTGGGCAACTGGATGACGCTGATATTGTAATTCCAGCATCAGACGAGCCAATTAATACGGTTAATCAGGCAGATGTTGAGATTCATGAAAACCAGATGGTGTATGAGCCCATTAGTAGTCCAGAGAGTAATGATGACAGGGAGATTTCCACCGCATCAGAGAACCACGACGGTGCGTCTTTACTGGACATTCAGAACACTCGGGAGATGGAAGGAGATGTATCAACTAGTCGAGACAACCGTTGTGGCCAACAACTGGAAAAAGAGGAAGACCTCCAGGAACAAATGTGTGTCCCAGACAGCCAAGATGTTGAAGTGGAAGCACAAACCGTCAGAGTGCCAGAGAGTTGTGTCCCTGCACATTTGGAGGAGAGTAACATGAATGTGAAACAAGTCGCAGTGATCAGCTCCAGCGATGACATCAGCATGCCAGATGGCCAGTCGGAAGATGCTACACTACAAAGAGAAAGGAATGGGTATGCAGATTGCGCCAGTGCCACAGAGGTTTCTGAACAGGTGCAGGAGGTTGCAGACGTCACAGTGACGACAACTACAGCCACCACTAAAGTTGAAATACCAGATAGTACATCTGAGGAGTTTTTTATCTTAGAACCAATGCAAACGGGTGCGTTTCACTACGACATTGTCACTCAAGCAGCGGCTGAATCAGGTTTGTCGGACTCGCTTTCAGAGCATGTGAATGCAGACGGTCCTTTGGAAGGCGATGCGGAGAATGAAAGGATTTTAAATGGTTCCCAACAAGCCGACTTCCTGCTGGCAGAAGTGCACCAATGTCACACAGCTGATGAGATCATAGTGACCAATTCAAGTGAGGTTGTAGATCAGGAGATGACAGACCAAAGTGTTGAAGTTCTTCAAAATTCCGACCACAGCAGTCACCCGACCTCTGACTTGATGGATGTTAATACCTCAGAGATTGATATGGCAAACTGCCATGCTCAAGTCACGAATGAAGACTGCAATGCACTGATAATAACAAACGCCGATGCTGATTTGGATTTACAAGAAGTGCAGATTCTACAGGATATAGAGATCGTAGAGATCGGACGTGAGATTGTAGTAGTAGAGGAAGAGAGTGATGCAGATAGTGACATCATAATAATAAAAAAACTCCAGGAAACACCTGAGGCAGACCCTCCTAAAAAGTCTGAGGAAAAAGCTAAAGATGATACATGTGGGACCAGCTTGAAGCTAAATGAAAAGGCTAAAGATGATAAAAAGGGACAGGGGGCAGAAAAACCCAAGAAACAAGAAATGAACACACAGGCCAGAACCAAAGCCCGCCTGGCAGCTCTGGCTGAGCAAAAGGCTGCGGCCTCGAAGAGAACTGCAAACAGACAGCAGCTGAACCTCTTAGCTTTGTGTCACGAAATTGCGGAGGACATTGCTACGGACAGCATGCTGTTAAAGAGGATAGAAGACGAAAAACTAGCAGCAGCATCCAAGAGTGAAACGAGCAAGAAGGAAAGTCCACCTGTTATCAAGCAAGAGGCAAACACTGCTGTTGTTGCAACTCATGCAGGACCAGAGGAGAGCTCTGCTTCAGTGGCTCCTGCTGAGGAGGCCTCTAAAGCCCAGCCCCCAACTGAGGTAAAGCCTGCTGCAGAGCCCGCCGCGAAGCCCACTCCAGAAGCTCCAAAGAGGCGTTTCTTTGTCACGCAGATTTCAGTGCCACTGAAAGCCCATGAGAAGAAGAAGCTAACTAGATATCAGAGGCTAAGACAGGTTGAACTGCAGAGAGAGAAAATGTCTTGGGCACGTGTGAAGAAGCTTAAGTCGGACCAAGCAAATCAGATGTTTTCAGACATGGATTGGCAAGCACCCATGTCTGCATCCTTCCCATTCTCAGTTCCTCCTGTGACCACAGCTCCTCCTCCACCTGCAGCCGCTCCATCCCAATCACCTCTCCCAAGCCCTGTCTCTAACAGCAAGCCTGCAACACCCAAGGCAGAACTCCCTAAAGCTGACCCTCCCAAAGCTGAACCCAGTAAGATTGAACCCACTAAAATAGAAACACCCAAAACTGAACCCCCTGAACCTGAAGCTGAAGCCTCCAAAACGGCGACTCCTAACGCTGGAATTCGTAAATCTACAAGGCAAACTAAGGCTCTGACTCCTAAAGAAACCCCTTCTCCGGGGCCCACCCCTAAAGTGACCCGATCAGCAGCAAAGAGGACCCTCCCGGCAGTACCCCCACCCATGCCTAATGGAGTTAAAGCTGAAAAACAGAAGCCCGTTGAGTACAAGCCATACAGGCCTCGGCCAAAGTATTCCTTTGATGATTTTGAACTAGATGACGACCCGTTGCCAACAAAAAAGCCCGGTCTTCAGTCAAGGCCGACACAGCCGACACGACCGGGTGTCCAGTCCAACCCTGCAGCGCAATCTAGACCCACTCTTCAGTCGTTACATCTTGCAAACCAGGCAAGACTCAGAGCTGGACAGATCCCAGGTCAGTTGAGGCCAGCCGGTTCCACAAATCCACAGTTAAAGCCTGCCGTTGCAACAACACCCCAGTTAAAGACCACAGCTACTGCCACAGCGACTGCCACAGCGACTGCCACAGCGACTGCCACAGCGACTGCCACAGGTTCTTTAAAACATCCTTTAGTTAAAGCTCAGTTAAAGCCTCCTCTCATGACGTCGCCCCAGTCAAAGGCTGTTTCAGCTCCAGGTCAGTCCAGGCCCGCTGCCTCGCCTCAGTTAAAGCCTGCTGGTAGTGGGGGTGCAGCTCAGCTCAAGCAGACAGCAGCATCTCAGTCTGCAGGTTCAACAACATCTGAGACAAAGCCAGCTGTTCCTAAGACCAACGTTGGTTCGACGTCCCAGAAAACCACACCGAAGCCGTCAGCAGAAGATGGCAAATGCAAGGTAACTCAAAAATGAATTATGCCATAATGTGTGTCACAAACAGCATTTTTGAAAAACTATGATACTCATCCCTTTTCTCTTTTTGTTATTTAGGGTACAGCTAATCCCACCTCTTCCATTCCCACTAAAGATGGCTCTAAAGTGTCTGACACACAGAAGTGTGAAGAAAAGCCTAAAGGTATGCATTTATTTGTAGCTAGTATTTTCGTCTAAACATCTGTCACAGGGTCCCAGAGAATACATAAACAATGCATCAAATTCTTTAATTAAAAATAATAAGGCTTTAAATGGTAAAATTAGTCTTTCAAAAGTCTTTTTTTTTTAAGGATTTTATGATCGTTATTGTTTTTTTTAAATCTAATAATAATTGGTAAAATCAGTTCTGTTTAATTGGTCTTAAATGTCATTGTAAGTGGCTGTTAAGAATATGACTTCTTACTAATTCTAAGCTTTAGGAACGTTTACATTTCAGACCATGTCCACAGGATATGTTCCAGTAAACAATTACTCTTATTTGTTCTCTTAAGTATTTCATTTAATTTCACGAAATGTTTGTGAAAACGTATTATGATGTGAATTATCAAGAAGACTTCATATTGTCGTCACAGTTGTTACTTTATTGCATGACAACGTAAAGCTAAAATAATAGATTTTATTTTCTTGATATACAAAATCACACCGCTGAAATAATCGTACCTTTTCTGACAGTGACTGGTGCGGATCCATCTCCTGAGAATAAGGCACAAACAGTCAAGACAGAAGAGAAGACATCGGGAAAACCTCAAGAGTAAGAAGACCCTCTCGAGTAAATTGACATGTTTTCTCTCGTAGCAACAGAAATGTGAAATAATGTAATGTGTGTTTGTGAACAGGGGAGCAGCAGAGACGAGGGATGGCAGGACTCCTCTCTCTGACGCATGCCTGCAAAAAGAAGTCAAGAAGCTAAAGGAGGCTGACAAAGACAGCACCCAGACCATCATTGTGAGCATATGTCTGTTATTATTGTTCATTTCATAGTAAGACAACTTTAAAGGATATCAGAAATTGAAGGTTGAGGCCTTAGGGGCTTATTCAAGGGAATATTTTGAGGATGCATTTACATGAGTAGTGATCTGTTATTTTTTCCGTGTCTCGCAGGATGCAGGACAGAAGCATTTTGGAGCGGTGGCCTGCAGCGTGTGTGGGATGCTCTACTCTGCTGCCAACCCTGAAGATGAATCTCAGCATCTACTCTTCCACAACCAGTTCGTCAGTGCTGTTAAATATGTGGTGAGAGGAGGATTCTTTAAATGAAATGTCTTTATTATTTGTCTTGCCTACTCTCTCACAGTATTGACATAAGTGCATTACACCAAGCATGTGTAGAGTAGTTTATTTGCCAAATAAATAACCAACAGTTAGAGGGTAATCTTATGTGATCGCACGCGAAGTGAATACAACTTTACTCTTGCTCACTTTTGGGATTTAAAAAGGTGCCACCAAGTATACTTATAGCTGATATTCCTAATGTTCAATACACTTTAAGATTCCGTCAATTGATTTAGATGACTTTAAATTGTACAGTGTCCTAACAGCAGCATGCAAGAGTATGGAGCTATGAAATGATGGAGCAAATAAGTAAGGGATAATGTGCAGCGAGGCGGTCATTATGGGGAAAAGAACACCCGACAGGCTCATCAGGGACCCCGACGCGAAGCGCAGTCGCAGTTCCAGCCGTTGGTGGAACTGCGCTTCGCGTCGACAACAACTTTACGGCAGCACTGTCCAACTCTGTTCACAGTTTCTGATCCACTAACAAGTCCTTAAACACTGCAGAGCCCATACCGTGTTCCTGTTAGTGTTTACTTCCTCTCTGCCTTCTTCTGGTGATTTATCTGACGTCCAGCGCTCCGTCTTTTACCCTCTTTTACTTTCTCTTTCTTGATCCTCCTTAGCAACGGCAGCAACTGCTTCGATAGCGTTTTTGAGGAGCTTTTTGATTACAGATTTGAAAACATCGTTGCTTGCTTTAAAAGCAGCACAATTCATTATGTCAAACCTTGGGAAGTATCTAGATATCCCTGCCCTAATGCCAAAGTAACCAAGCAACTGAATATGTTTTGCCGTTTGGTGTCTATGGCTGGACCGTTGCGTAAAAAGGAGGGTTTCTGCCCCGTTACTTCTCCGCTGTTTTCTTGCATGCAGTTTGCTTTTCGGCCAAACTGTATACAGTTCAATCGAACGGACTTCTTTGTGCAGATGTGAGCGTCCTTAACAATGGTCAATAACGGCCCGTCCACACAGCGGCGTGCGTTGAAAGCTTCACCATTCACTTTGAATGGGGTGACGTCACTTTTCGCCGAACTGCATTGTGGGAAGCGAAGCGGAGCTTTGCTGGCGTGGCTCGCTGCAAAAGTTGAGCAATGTTCAACTTTTGAAGCCTCGGCAGAAGCGTCAGCCAATCGAATCATATGCCAGTACAAGCTCTAGCCAATCAAACCGCTGCTTGTGTGTCAGGGGCGGGAGATTCATGTGATTGGCTTCAACGCACGCCGCTGTGTGGACGGGCCGTAAGTCCTTGACAGCGGTCTGTACTACTGGATTAACAACGTGTCACGTGTTCTGAATTGACCAATCAGAATCGAGTATTCAACTAAGCCATGTAATAAAACATAATAATAACCTGTAAGGGAAATAATAAAACAATAGTCAAATAATCTGAAGCAAATTTGAAGAAAGAACAGCTACATTACTAACAATAATAGGCAAGCATTTGCATTATTTGTGCCACATAGGTAGTTACTGTATTTATTAAATGAAGTAGAAAGCCTCATGTGGACAATAACATTATGCTTAAGAGTTTATCTTGTCAATTCATCAATTTTTCCCTTCTCTTTTTCAGGGATGGAAAAAAGAGAGGATCCTGGCAGAGTATCCTGATGGCAAGATCATTCTGGTCCTGCCTGACGATCCCAAATATGCTCTGAAGAAGGTACAGTGTGTGAATGGGGATTAACCTTTGCCATCATAGAATTCTTTAACAATGATGGGCATTACTGACGCAATTACAATCTATGAAATCACACATATGATGTTATTCAAATGACAAACTTTGAGAAAAACACCAGCATTTGTTATCTTCATTTCCACTAACTGTTTGGTTCTCAGGTGGAGGAGATCAGGGAGATGGTGGACAATGACCTGGGCTTCCAGCAGGTGGAGACCAAGTGTCCCTCTGTGACCAAGACCTTTCTCTTCATCTCCCATGATAGGAAAGTGTGTGGATGCCTTATAGCGGAGCACATACAAGAGGTAAGAGACTGCAATCTTTGACACTCGTTTATTACAAAAACATGTTAAGGATGAACGGACTGCATGAGTTGGAAGTAGACTGAGCCTTTCTTTTATTTTTTAAGAACCTTATTTTTTTATTTTTTCAGTACAAAATATCTTTCAGTCACATTCACATTTTCAGTTATAATAATACAGTACAAAATATCTTTCCGTCACATTCACATTTTCAGTACCGCTCCAGGGCAAAATGGAGAGAGAATACAAGTGACATACAAGAGTGTTAACATTCTTACTGTATTAGTGGATGTATTACAGGGGCCCATCGCTTGATACATGTATTTTTCTGTAGGCGTAATAAATATGTTATTTGCTCCATGTGGTGGATATCCCAAACTCTCTGAATCCAGCAGTTATAGGTGGGAGGTTCTGGTTTCAACCATTTCATAGTGATGCACTTCAGGGCTGCTGTCAATACAATTCTTAATAGATATGCCTTAGACCTCTCTTCTAGACCCTCAGGTAAAACTGTACTGAGCCTTTATATGATGGCAGGGATACAGGGTGATCGAGGAGCCAGGACCGGAGGGCACCGAGGGAGAAAAGGTGATGTTTGAGCGTCAGAGAGCGTGGTGCTGCTCCACGACACCGGAGCCGGCCATCTGTGGTATCAGCCGCATCTGGGTGGTGAACATGATGAGACGCAAGGGCATCGCCTCCCGCATGCTGGAGTGCCTGAGGTCAGAACATCTTCAAAAAAACCACCTATAGTTGATAAAGCCTCAAAATAACCGACATAATGACATCCATTTTGTTCTTTCCTCCACAGGAACAACTTTGATTACGGTTCGTACCTGAGCAAAGACGAGATCGCTTTCTCCGACCCCACACCCGACGGGAAGCTCTTCGCCACACATTATTTTTCCACTTCTCAGTTTTTGGTTTATAACTTTGTGAGTGGAACGCGCTCATCCCAGCCAAAAACTGACGCAGTATGACAGTCTCCAGGAAAAGGTAACAATGGATTAAACCGAGACGCCCACTGAGCAACGGGACGCATCATCGCTAAACAGCGTCTGATCCAGATTTGCAAAATGTAAAAAAACAAACTGTAAATAACTCCGTGAAGAGGACACACATTGGTTTAAATCTCAGGATGAAAACAACAAGGTGTTGTTAATCATTTTTATTAACTCGCCCTTTAATCCCTCCCCGAATGGTATTTTGAAAAATGAGAGTATTTTCTTCATACATTTTTAAGTAAACAATTGGTTTTATTAGAAGGATAGAGTTTACATGCATGACCTGACAGCAATAGAAAACAAAGAGCCTTTCATTGATGTTTTCCTCTGAAGTCCTGCGAGGTCAAACAGGTGCATTTTAAATGTTATTTTAGAGTTTTGTCCGTATTAAGTTTAAATGATTTTTAATTGCATAATGTAGTGTACTTCAAGGGATTGTCATGTCCATCTCTTCACAGCTCAAAGTGATGCTGCCGTCGTCTCAGATTGGGTTTTAAGCAGCAGCGATCATGTTACTGGCCGGTTAAATATGTATTTTTGCCACATCAGTCCCACTGATTTCACTGTCATGTTTTTATTATAACATTTCAAATTGATCATCCTAAAGAGATGTGGGTTGAAGCTGTAGCCAGGGCATTCATTGTGTTCTCTAATTTCCTTAGATCACCTTTCTTGTTTAGTTTCCCGAGCTGAGCCACATACTGTACACCGTTTAGCAGGGCATTGTAGCCTAAAACTGTATGAGTGATGTCCTTTCATTTCACCGAAGCTGTCTATTGCTTTCTTTGTGCCTGAATGAATAATGTGTCACTTCAAATTTGTTTTTTTCCTAGCCATACGTTATGGCTTTTTATTGCGTTAATGTAGAGTATCATTCTCCTTTTACCTAAGTAAAATCGAATTAAATGTATATCAAATGATCATGTAGAGTTATGCATACTATAACAACATTAATAATGGATGTGTTAAGGTTCACCCTTTATGATTACCAACAGGAACATTTGCTCAGTGATCAACATGAGGGGTTGTATCTCTTCCTCTCTACACAGATTTACAGTCTCATTGTACTCCATCCCTTCTTTTCTTTTTCCTACTTGTTAAAGCAATTGCTTTTAGAAAAATGTGTCGTGGAGAAAAAGATATTTGATTTATACGAAGCTGTATGTAAATATTTATTTAAATAATAAACGATTTAAAACAATTTCTCTTACTCGGCTCTCTTCGAAAAACAGGTAATTATGTGCTTTTTTTGTGCTCTTCCATTTCCACTAGGTACTGCTAGCAAGCCTCTGACCCTCTTCATTCTACATTGTAGTATTAGTCACTAATGCCATCTAGTGGACATTGTTGTTGTTGTATGTTAAAAGATGTAACACTGGATTATTTTTTATTTTAAAATGATCATCTCAAGAATGTGAAATGTATTTATGGATCACACCGATAAATGGCCTTAATTTGTATTCATGTTTGATAGGTTTCAATTGTGGGAATTGTCTTGCTGTCATTTATTCTCTTTGTAGTTGCAGATGTAAACACTCCCCTCTTAGTGCATTCCTCGACACTCCTGTCACAACACGGATCAGCTCGATGGCAACTTCTGAGAAACAAAACAACCTTAGAACAACACGGATACTTCCTCAGCCGCAGAGTGAGAAAACAGCTCCTCCACGGAGATCGGATGCTGATCAGCAGGAGAAAAACAACCAAGCTGAGCTTCCTAAGGTATCTCAAACACAGTGGTCACCTTGGCCTGTTGACTTTCACTGACACTAGGACCACCTCGGAACTAAATGCACATTATCTTAAATCCCAGTCCAGAGTCCATGGAGATTTAAATGGATTTAGTCTGGAAAAATATTATCACAGTAAAAAAGAATAACCAACATTTGTAAATTCACACTTTTATTCTCACACATCAATTTAAGAGACAAAATTGTCACAGCTGCCACATTGAAACAAAAAACCATGTATTCTAATTATAAATGTTAGGTAAATAAGTATTATGCTATGAAAATCAATGTCTTATTTACACTTTAGACAGCCAATATACAAAAAAACATGCATCAGGATATTAACTGACAATTTCTACAGTTTGCACACAACATGTGTATATATACAGTTACTTTATTTAGCAAAATGTTGACCTGAACTTCATCCCATACCTGAGCTGCAACAACAAAGTCACGCGTTGACTCAGCAGGACATCTGCAGGGACTTGATGTGCTTTAAGAGTTTTAAAACAAGATTACACTAATGCTCTCGGGACTTGATCTGTTGACATGCAACCTATAATAAGAAAAGAGCTGCTCCAGAGTGTGGCAAATACACAATCACCATGTAACAAAAAAATCTATTTTGACATGAGCATGAACTCTTAGCTGAGATGGTAAATAAAGGGTCAATACATTGGCTTGTAACACATTCAGCATTTGGCTCAAATGAGTTGACATGATAGTGTATTTTGCCAAGGCTATGGCATCATCAAAATGTAGGCACCAAAGAGAATATATCATGATGCTGTAGCTCAACAACTTATTTTTGAACAAGTTTTGTTAAAAATCGAAGACGTCCTTACAAGAAAGGACAATTCTGACCACAGAAATTGTAAAGTACGTCCAATATATCAGGATCCTCGACCCTTCTGACTCCCTGTCCTTTCCCAGGCTGCAACACAACTACCTCAGCATCAGGTGAAGGCTCTACCAATGGATGCACTTTGTTATCCTTCTTCTTAAAGTCAGTAACGCCAACACCGGGCAGCGCGCCGTTCCTCTCCGCCCACATCTTGGTGTCTTCCAAACTGCCCCTTGTCTCTATGATACAGTCACCATGAGCGCTGTTCTTGCTAACTATGCTCAGGTCTTCTTGACATGGTTCTGAGTCACTAGCATGGGGGAGAGAAAAGTAGGTGCACTTTCTTGTAAATGTCGACTTTTTGTCCTCTACTTCAGACTGTGTGTTGATAAGGGAATGTGAGGTGTTCTCCTCTGTATCCTCACACATTCCTTGGCCTTGAAGAAAGTTTTTGTTTATTCCAACCGGGTCTGAAATCGACTTTCTCATCAGCGTGTTTTCTTTAAACAGCCATTGTTCATGATCAATAGCGTCTTCTGGCCTGACCTGTGCATGAAAAGTAATGCAATGTGCTGCTTCACTCAAGGTGTCCACAGCAGAAGATGAATTGAAATAAGACAACTCAGACATGGCTTTGGCTATGTGGAAAGGAGAGAAAATGCTCGGATGTTCTTTCGTTTTCTCTTTTGTTGCAGATGGGGGCCTTTCAATCACCTCCTCATCTGGTTTTGCTTCTTTTTTGCCATAAAGCCTTTCGATAGTTCTTCTCACAAAGCCTTTAGTGATGGATTTTCGTGCTGAATCATCTTCGCCGCTGGACAGGTCACTTGAAGTCAGAGACTGGTACCCGGCACTAGCTGAGGTCTCCGCTCTTATGTCGGACAGATCTGATGTTTTCAGGCTTGGGAAACGTCCGTGCTGGATATCTGTGGAATTCTTCGCCAGGAACATTTCCCTAATTAACCGTACCTTGTTGCTTTCAGGCTCTGATGTTATAACGCCACTGGAATCGTAGCTGAACGATAATGACGACTGAGGAGGTGATCGGTTAATGGGAGTTGTTTGAGATGTAGGTGATTCAGAGGGGGAGTTCTCCATATCTGACTCGAGGTGGCCATGTCTTTGTGAGGAACGTTTGATGGCAGAACGCTCTGTTGTCTTCTGTTCATCAGAAATTTTCTTTTCCAAAAGAATTCTTCTCTCTGTGACAGATTGGGATATTAATCCTTCAAATTGATGCTTGAGTTTGTCCACGGCCTTTTCACTTGTTAATTTAGTTGTCAATTCAGGAGCTTCCTTATATTCCGTACAGATCTTTTCTATATGTCTGTCCATATTGGCCTCTTTTTCTTCTTTTACATCAAAGCTTAATAATGATTTATTTAAGCAGTTGATCTGTCCATCATCGACCTTTGGTTGATCTACTTCTAGATGTTCTTCACAGCTGCTGTGGTCATTCCCACTATCTTCATCTGCATTGAATCCATAACTCTTTGTTAAATTGTGAGAATTAATCAAACTGCTCTTGGCATATGAATCCTGATTTTCGATCAAGTTTCTTAGACTAATCTCATCACATATTTGTGTTTCGTGTTGGTCCTCATCGTCTGAGCTGACCTCGTCCTCCTCTGTCTCTTCAATCAAATCCTTTATCTCCCTCTGAACTGGAAGATCACCAAGGTATTCTTCCTCCTCAGCCTCATTGCCAGACACATTTTCCTCAATGATAACCTGTAGTTTCTTACATTCAACCTCTTGCTGCTCTTCCTCTGAACATGAATCATCAACATCTGACTTACATGTGCTTTCATCAAAACTGACATTCGGTCCTATAGAGCCTGCTTGACATCCGATCTCCGATTCCTCTCCCTCTGATATGGACTTGTGTTGGCTATCTGGACTGGAAATAATTTCGTCCCCTCTTACTTCTACACCGTAATCCGGGCTTGGTTGCTTCACCTCCTCCTCGTCCTCCTCCTCAGAAGGACTCTCAGGGTTCAGGTTTTCATTTAGTATCTCCTCACATTCAATGTCTGGTTCCTCTTCTGAACTATGTTGCTCAGCTGACTCTGAGCTCGATGCACTCTGCTTACAGCTCACAGTCACCTCTAAATCTTTAATGGCACTTGACATGCGCTGCCCTTCCTCGTCATCATGGCTAAGCTCATTCTCAGGGATACTCTCTTCACTGTACATCATCATCTGATTAACCTTGTCTTGCTCCTCCAGCTCGAATGTACAACTATCTTCTTCAAAACTCTGCTTGTCGCTGACTACTTCGTTAGTTTGATCCCTTTCTTGGTTTGATTTGTCTTCCTTGTGGCCTTGCTCCCAGTTATCTTTAACAAACACTGATGGCTGCCTTTCATTTGGTATCTCTTTATCATTGGGTTCAGTTGGTGGACATGGAGCCGCACCATCCTGCCCATATTGGCTAGCATTGTCTTTGGTTTCTTTAGTTATACTGACTGTGTTGGACTGTTTTGGCTGGGTAATGTCTGTGAATTGTCTAATAATGGAGCCCACATCAACCTTCACTTTCTCCTCTTGAGCAACAGTCCTTACATCAACACCATCGCCTGTGGAGAATTGGGATATCTTGGCCTTAATGTTGTCTTTTGGTTCCACTTCTATCTCTTCTTCATTGTCCCTTTTGACAATTATTGAAAGAGAGTCCAATTCCTCCTTGAGTTTATCAGGTATGCCAAGAATATCCACAATCTCATCAATTACATGTTCATCAATGCCACAGTCTTTTTCTGGACCAGCCTGGGTGGCATGTTCGTCTTCTGAATAAATCGGTGTTTCGCTGCGGCTCTTGCATTTGAGTTCCTGAAAGCCCTGCCAACTTTGAAGTAGCTGCTTCGAGGCAGACTGCTGTAAATTGGACAAACTAACTTGTAACTCATTGGAGTCCTCAATGCTGGCAATTTCTCTGAGAGAATCAATCATTTTTAAAGCTTCTGCACAGCTTACGTTGTTTGCATTCAGCTCGACCATATCAAGGTTAGCCATGCCTTCCTTTAGGGTCATGACGGACAAGAAAGCAAGGAGAGCTTTAGTGGATGAGCCAAATGTCGAGGCTACATGAGAAGAGAAGTCAGGCAGGCTGTTGGACTTTTCCAGACATGATCGACGGTTGTTCTGTGTAATCTGTCTAATGGACTTTATTGAGTAGCAAATCTTTTCAAGCACAGGTTTCATGTTTGGCTGATTTGCCATGTTTAATGGCGGGGACATTATGTGTGTTATGGATTTCTCTTCATCTGATGTTGTAATGTCATTTGTCCCCTTATTGTCATCCGTCTGATCAGCTTCCAAAGGCTTACGTTTGTCGCAAGTTAGTGTTTTGTCCATTTCAGATGTTGATTTGACTGTTGAGAGATGGTTTCTGTGGTGTGTTGTTTGCTTTAGTGTATTATCTGTTGGCTCCGATGCACTGTCTGAGGAGAGATTTCTTGAAAGCACGTTCTCACTTGACTTGTGTCTGACAGATGGTGACGCAACGTCCAAAGACTGAGAATATGGAGACATTATCTTTTGTGATTTAGGTGTATAAAGCTTTCTGATAGTGGAGGGGCTAGCTTTTGGTGATCCATGTCTTCGCATTCCAATATTTGGTGACAT